TACAGAATGTGTAATGCAATAACTCACAGTATATTAAGTAGGTGAAGTCAGTGCAGTGCTTCAAAAGTTTCGTTAATTTAAAATTATAATTTAGGTGTTTAAAAACAGGAATATGTCAAGCAGCAGTAGCCGAGAAGAACCCATTGACGATACTGACAATGACCTTGATTTTTGCTCGGATGATCCTGACCTAGTGTTAGACGATTTTCTCTGTTTAACAGCTAGTGGTAACTATAGAAGCCACTTACAGTAAGGTCCTTGAACCCAAGTAAATGCAAGTGATGGTGATCCATAATAGCTTTTTACGTCGCGCGCAACGCTCACTGCCTTCTATAGATGCCACTTGCCCTACCCCTCACCAAAATAAGATAAAATGGCCACTAACCATTGCAAGCTGCTGTCTAATTTCGAAAGCACGTATAGTTGGTTTACGTTTTATTGTGCTGTGCTCAAGTGATTTAATTAGAACAATTGTAAGTATTATTTTCATTGCTTAAAATAATGTAAAACTTAATTTCTGCCGCATTTTATTAAAACAATATATGCGCCAAGGAAATTTTGATAAACTATATAAATTGAGGCTGCTTATCGACCACCTTAATAAAGAATTTAAACTTGTATTTTCACCATCCAGAGCTTTCAATAGATGAGAGCATGGTAGGCTTCAAGGGGCGCTCAACTTTGATACAATACATGCCCACGAAGCCAATCAAACGGGACATCAAAATTTGGGTTATGACCTGTGCACGAACAGGGATTACCAACAAAATATGCCCCTTCCTCACGTGCCTAGTAGAGACGTCTTTTTTAAATGCTTTGGGAATACAATTTTTGTATTTTTGTAAGAAGTAATGGAAAATCATACTTCATGTATGATGAAACAGTAGCAAGGAAAGGACAAAATGACGTAGTGAGTTTTTACATTCTTTTATTAATCACTATGTTCCAGAAACTGTAAGAAAATTATTCTTGTACCCTGATAACTGTTCCTCGCAGAACAAGAATCAAACTTTAGCTCAGTATCTCTATTCCATCACCGAAAATAAGAAGTTTTCCAAAATAATACATAGATATCCAGAACCAGGACATAGCTTCCTTCCACGTGATAGAAGTTTTAGATTAATAGAAAAGGAGAAGAGAGAACGAGAAAGGATTGTATTACCAGAAGAATGGATTGCGTTGGTCAAAAATACATGTCGCAAGTTTGAAGTGGTTTCCCAAGATACCCAAGATATAAATTTCAGTGATCATTTTAGTAAGCTCTTCAAAAAAAATTGTATTTAACAAACGAAAACAAAAATTTGCAATCTCTTCTTATCGCGTAATGGAATACACTGAAAAGGTGTAGGATGCAGCAGTTTCACCTGTGCTTGCGTTAAGGATCAATTTACTCGTCAAAAACCTGGCATATAGCTTACTCTACCTGGTGCCGAGTCACGTCTCTACTCTGAGCCATTACCGCTCAAGAGCGCTAAGTAAAAGAGCTAGCAACAAAATACGTGTTTGCAGACTGTAAGTGGTTTTACGAGGGACTTAGTTACCAGTCTCGAGACATCGTCACAAATATAAAGGATTTGATACAGTGGAAAACAGACCACGTAGTGGACGTCCTCGAGTGTCTAATGAAAGAGAGGATCGTTATTTGGTGCAATACGACAGCTTCAGCTTTAGCTCTCAGATCTCACTTCCAGGGTACATTTCGATGATCTACTGTTCGAAGACGACTCCATAATGCAAATTTATGTGCTAGAAGACCATTAAGGGTCCCCATTCTACTTCTAAGACATCGTGCTACCCGTCTCCAGTGGGGGCGAGAGCACAGGGGTTGGCTTTTGCGCCAGCGCAGTGGCGGTGGGTGTTATTTAGATAAAACCAGAATTAGATTGGTTAGTGATGACAATCAACAAAGGGTCTGGAGAGAATCAGGTCGTCAACAGCGACTTAATTTTCTCCGCGAAGTTGCTCCCTATGAAGGGGGTACTGGGGTGGAATACTGTTCAACCGCCGTACCCCATTAATTCACATGCCACAGAATATGACCAGAAAATTTTGTGTTTATGAAGAGTTCAGGAGACACTTGAAGTAGGACATATCAGTAGATTGGATTGACCAGCCAACTCGCCTGATATGAATCCTATTGAAAACATGCAGGATTTCGTTGCTAGAACCATTCACAACTGTATTACTTGGGACTGCAGATGAGATAGTCGTAGCGGAGATAGAGACCATCAATAACCGCTTAATTGTTTCAATGCACATACGTGTCAATATGTTATTGCGAAGTGGAGGAGGTCATAACGAGTGCTTTGTTACTTTTTTGGTTTAATTCTTCGTTTTCTAAGTATTTAGTTTGTCGAAAATTACCTCTCTCACAAAAACAGATTCAGAAAACAATATACTTTTATAAATATATTTTTTCTTCTGACAAAAAAATTTCTTTAACAAGACTGAAGGGAGTCCAAGACTTTTGACGTTGTATGATCCAATCTGTATCATGCTGTTCCGTTTCGTCGGTTCGTGCGCGATAGAATGCCTTTTTTGTCACAGCTTGCAGTGGCTAATATCTTCCATATGGATACTTTTAACGGAACACGACGTTGGTGATAAGGCAAAATGCAACTGGCTATCTACTTCGACATTTAAAATTAGCTCACCCCACAGCGGCAATTAATGAAGATTTTACGAAAAATAATTCTGCAAGTACTCGTAAAAGTGAAATAAGTGTTGAATTTGCATCTACATCCGATACCCGATAGATCATAGAGTTGATCTTTCGTGGCTTTCACTGTATCAGCACCAGCTCTTCAGTTCAGATCTGCAGATTTTGGGCTCAAATGAACGGTGAGCGATAGGGTCATACAATGTAAACGGATCAATCTAGGGCCTTTTAGTAGATTCGGTCATTATGACACTATCGTTCATGAACGACACATCACTACTGCAAAGAAGATTACAGGGAACTACTTGAGCTAACAATTATATTTCTGTGTCACTTCACCTCGAGACACATTCCTTATCCAGAGGCATTCCATCATGCTACATGGATGTCAAAGATGCTTTATTACCAAAAATTATTTAAGTTTAAACCAAATGCTTTGGAAAAACCAGCATTTAGAGACAGAAGTATTTTTTTAGTTCAAGTTTATGTTTCGGCATGGTTCAAAGTTCCATTCGCTCAATGATTCGCAATTTTGTAAAAAGTTTTCTCGATATCCTGACTCTGGTATATCACGAGCAGCAATAGATAAGTTTTTTAGACATTTTTGGTACCTGAATGTATTGCCTTTGCCTTTTTCGACTCAAATGTTCCAATACCAGTGAAATTAAAAATGATAAGCTACAAAAATTGTAAATGACGCCCTAAATGGTAATAAAAGGGTGGTACTTGATTTAACACCTAGGACAGTTTTTAAAGAAAGATCTAAACGACTTTGACTCATCCAAGACGTTAATTTCTTCCGAACATTCAATATTTCAAGCGATTTTCTAAATTCGCCACTAGATACAGAAATTACCAAAAGGGATTAAGAATTTGACAGTTGTTAACCACGTTGTTAAAAGAGGAGTTAAAAATAAGTGTAAAACTAGAAGATATTGGTAATGTACTACCCCGGGCTTGGTGAGTAACTTCGATACACTTCTTCTTATAGCTGTCCAAGCCGCTTATAAAGATCATCTGGTGTACTTATGTCGTTCAGCAGAAAACCGCAGCACAAATTACGCTACGGCCTCTTTTAAGATATATCCGCTGAAACGACTTTTATATAGTTTATCTGGAAGTTACATCGCTGCCACCAGGTCAGGAAAATAATGAAAAATTCTCTCCTTCCGCCTGACCTCGGAAATAAAGAAGTTTAGGCAGGTGGATTCTGGATTCTAAATTGCGTGGTCTTTACAGTCAGTTACACAAGAAAAAAACCGAAAGGTGTCGCTGGAAACGTTCAAGGTTATTTAATAAAAATAAGTTCCCTGTATGCACACATACAAAAGGGACAAAAATGACGTACGTTGCTGCAGCCAGTGATTAAAAAGTCACAGAAGTTCGCTGAGGTGAGTGAAGCGGCGCCATAAAAAAACACTGATCTTCTTGAAGGTAGGAAAATGAGAACAACGTCCAGCAAACACGAAAGAGTGACTGTGTTCATGTTCAAATGACAATTATTTCAGGTGAAATTATTATAACCTACAAGGTCGAAACCCCTGCTTAGAGCAATCCACATTAGAAATGCCTAGGGAAGAGGGAAAGCGAGAACAAAAATCGCTATTGGTTGAAGGTGCCCGGTTAGCGAGAAGTACGTACTGATTTCATTCAGGCCACTGTCAAACACTGTGCAAAAGCGAATGTCTGCCACTGCTGCAAGGAGGAAATGGTCATCATGGATGATTGGCCCTTATAATCTCCTGAAGCAAGCACTATCGAAAGGGTCTGTGCCATTATGAAGGACCAGCTTACAGGAAAGCCACTTTACGATTTGAAGCAGCTTTCAAGAATTATTCGAAAGATTTGGCGTGCTTTTCCCACAAGTTACGCTGAAAATCTCGTCGCAAGAATGTCCCGGAAGTGCCAGGCCACTCTCGATGCTGGTGGGGATTATACTCTCTATTAATCAATTGCGCCTTTGCATTTTACATGTAAAAAAATTTGGAAATGTCTTGACAACTTTTGAAAAAATCTCGCCTCCTTTATTGTGGACCAGATTGTATGTGTAATTGAAAGCTTAAGGAAGAATGACGATATAACAAACACAATTTAAACTCAAATGTAGAGCATATTGCTCTTTCCAGCTGCTAGACGAAACCCCAGCCATATACATAACATGCATATATAGCAACTTATTTCCACATGCAACAGTGACCGGTATCTACTTACACCCATACAATATACTTCTCCAGTGTTTGACTTATTCAACTTTAGAATCTCCATCTTCTCATACTATGCTTCTATATCAACTTCAACAGTTCAAGGAAAGGAAAACACTATATTTTGTAACGACTTTATTATAATACTACTACTACTACTATAATACTACTAATTGTAATCCTGAAATTAATTACAATATAGAGTCTATCTAGACTCTCTCAGATTCTTTATTTTAAATTATATGTATGATTAATACTAACCTTTACAAAATCCTGAAATATATCTATGAGCGCAGCTCACACCTTCGGAGTAGTCCTTGAAATTACTTGTTTCGTTACTATGATCATGGGTCCGCAAGTGGAGCTACGGCAATAAAAAGGTAAATTAAAAAATATTAGAAATGTACCGCGGACATGTCAGCTAGACATGTCGTGAAAAGTGGACATGTCCTGAGGACACTTTTCACGATTGAAAAGTCGTATGCGCATGCGCGGAATTATTTGTTGCATTCATAATTCCCGCAAAAGATTTTTGTGATCAGTACATGTAAAATTAAAGATATTTAGCCATTTTCTTGTATTTTGTTGGTAATTGTTTAACTGAAACTGACATTTTAAAAATATAACCTCTTTTATATGTCTATATTTTATTATTTTTGGCAAAGTTAACGATTAGTAAATAGTAATCAGTTGATTCTTAATTTAATATTTAATACACAAATAGTTTATAAATGAAATATGACGCCAAAATCAACAATTTGGTGATATTTTTCTGAACTGAGTAAAAATTAGAAACCAGTTTATAAAAAAGTCTAAAGGTAGGTAATTAGTAAAATATATTGACACATATTCATTAGAATAAAAGTAATATTTTGCTTTGTGTACCCTCAAGCAGGGACCTGTGAAAACATAATGTTACTCTTAGGTGCCTTATTAGATTCAAGGTCAAAAGTACTTTTCCCGACATGTCCGGATATTTCATCGATATGTCCAATGGACATGACCATAACACACTTTTCCGAAAAGTGCCCATATCTAAAAAAAATATTTTTTTTTATTTGTAAGGGTTGGGGATTGTTTTTCAATAGCATGTTTTGGGGTTGGTTTGGGGGTTACATTGTCGGCACATTTTCGGTAACTACCTACTTATTTAAACAAAAAAGCTATTATGGTTGCAAATTGTTTTGGAGTAACAGTTTTCGTGGTAATTTAATGTGAAGATATTGCAGCGCTCCCATTTTACTAGTACAAACATCAAAATTAAACAAAAGGTTTCAATATTTTTATTAAATTCTACATGATAGCCATACATCTACAAATTAAAATGCCATTTCCTTTTTTTATTTTAGATGAACTGGAAATGTGAAATTGAAAAAACTTTTTTTTTATATGGATGTTATCGGGGCTCTGTACAGCGAATTCTTGTCCTTATATTCCCTCAAAACAACCTTTCAATATTAATTAAATTAGTGTTAAGCCATAAAAGTGAATTAACACAAAGAATAGCTGAGCACATAAAATGCTGCAGAGCAGCCGTTTCCCATGAAACTATAAATCAGTATTTTAATAATTTAGAAGAGTCTTTAAGAAGCGTAAAACCGCCTGCAATAATAAACTACGACAAAACTAATCTGACGGACGATCCTGGTAAGAAAAAAGTTGTGGTCAAAAGAGGATGTATACATCCAGATTTTATTGTTAATTTTTCAAAATCACCAACTTCTGTCATGATGGTTTGTGCGGCTATGGAACACTACTACCCCTATATACTATTTATAGATCAAAATATATATGGGATACTTGGAGGTCAGGAGGACCTAAGGGAGCTCAGTATACATGCACCAAATCCCGATGGATAACGGAAAAATATTTGAAGAATGGTTCTTGAAAATAGCTTTGCCATATTTAAAAAAAAAAAAAAAAACAGGAGTCCCCAAGATCACCAATAGGAGACAATTTGTCATCGCACCTATGAGATCTCGTGATTACAAAATGCGAGAGAAATGACAAGTACATGTACAAGTACATGAAGTGTTTATACGAACTTCAAACAATGAATCAGAAAAGAATGGGATCACAGTAACAATGAATTGTTGAGATCGAAAAGAATCAGATTATTATCTACAAAAGGCAATACCTAAAAACAAAAACAAAAAATAACCAAATTTCTTTCCTCCAAATAGGCTGAAATGTACCCCACTATAGTTACAGGCAATCAGCTTCTGACGCTGTCGCTAGTAGAACTGATCGTGTTATTGAAGAACTGAAAGATCTTGCTCCCAAAGATATATTTGAACGATTGGTGGATGACAAAATTGTGCAACATATTGTAGAACAAACTATTTTATATGCATGACAGAAAAATAACCACACATTTTCACTAACAACTAATGAACTAAGAAATTTCTTGAGTATTATTTTTTTGACGTCTTACCACAAGCTACCTAGAGAGCACCTTTAATGGGCACTCGATGAAGATCTTCACGTTAGTATTGTATTCAATTTATGCAGAGAAACAGATATTCAGAAATAAAAAATATCTTCATTTGAGTGACAATACAAGATAGACAACGATCGAATGTATAAGGTGAAGCCAAATGTTAAATAAAAATTATCAGTAATGGGGTATTTACCATTAGTCATTATCAATTGACGAGGCGATGATAAAATATTATGGCCACCATTCGGCCAAGCAGTTCATGTTGGTATTCAGTGCATATTTGTATATGTGCGCCAATTCTGTCAACCAAGAGGGTTGGACTTGCCTTCTGAAAAATGTGACCAATAGCAGAGTGGCTCATGACGGAGCATCTGTTTCCGTTATTAAAAGTAGTTAGTTCGTTTCTGTCTCCCGATGTAGTTGTGTTACTGTGTGTAATAAGTAGATAATAAAATAGTTTTACTAGAACTTTACGTTGTTTTTACAGCAGTTTCTAATAGTTCATCCGAGGCAAACCCTGTAGTTTCGGTTTTAAAAATTGTCGAATCAAAAAATCAAGACCATGCAAACGGAAGTTGCACACGTTGCAGTCACAACAGCTATATGGACGTCAGATAGTAACAAAGTCTATATTTCTGTGATGGTTCATTTTGTTTATAATGACCAAATACTTTCGTCTAGTATAGCTATCAAAGAAATGGAAGACGCTCACCATACCAGGGAAAATATTGCGTGAGCGCTTAAATCTATTTTTGAAGACTGGAATATTGAAAATAAAATCGTCACAATGGTGTCTGACAATGGTGCAAATATTAAAAGTGCTATGCGTCAAATGAACAAACACCATCACCCTTGCATCGAATTGCTAGACAAAATTATTAAAAAGTGCCATTCAGTAGGACATTTTAAGCATAGTGTTGTTGAGACTCAAACTCTAAAGGATGTGCAGAGTCAAATGAACTTACCCATACTCAAAGTGAAGCAGGATGTAAGAACAAGATGGAACTCACGTTTAATTATGATGGAGAGACTTTTGAATATAAAAGCACCATCGTCGGCTGTCATAACGTCACCTGAGTCACCTGAATTTTTGGATGCTGCCGAGTAGCAAATAATAACGGATTGTGTGTCAGTGTTGAAACCTGTTGAAGTTATAATCACAGTTCTATCAGGAGAGAAATATCCAACTCCCCCTTTACCCTAAGGGGTACCCCCTTTAATGAATGGCCTACAAATTTCTCCAAGAGATAAGGTTGTGGCTACAGATGTGGGTCATCAACTTAAAGCGTCTCTACTAGAATCCATATCAGGGCGACTTAGAAGTCTTGAAACTAACAAAATAGTGGCAAAAGCTACAATATTAGACCCACATTTTAAAAAATTTGTATTTGGCCTTTCAGGAAATTCTGATAATTCCAGAAAAGAATATCAGTACCTCAATTGTAGACTAAATGTAAAAATAATGTACAACGTGTTTAAGGAAAAACATCCTAGCAGGAAAATTAAATATAGCTAATAAACTTTGACCTACACTTTGGTCGTCTACAGATAGACACATGTTGTCAATGTGAAGAATTTTCACTCAAAATTAAAAGTAACTCATTAGGCGAAGCTGCAAAAGTGGTAGTGATTACAGAAAAAATGATACATGTACGAACAGTCAAGAGATTTTACACTTCACTGAAAAATACTGTCGCTGAAGAAGTTAAGGAAACAAACAGCATTACTGCTATAACATTTGATTTTATGCAGAATTTGCAATTACCACTTGTTCCTGTCCAAGACTCTTTTTATTTAACTCAACTTAGCGTTAGTGTTTTTGGAATTCACAATTTAAAAACTGGAAAGCTCTCTATTACGTTTATCATGAAGGCTTAGCTGCGAAAACACCAGATAAAGTATGTTCATTTTTAATGGACTGCATTACGAATTATGCAGATGCACATTCAAAAGAGCTTAGGCTTTTTTTAGATAACTGCTCGGGCTAAATAAAAAATCACACTTTAGTAAGGTTTTGTATGGCACTTATTCAGATTAAGAAGATTTGATAAAGCGCAACAATTTTTTTCAATTCGGGGACACTTCCCTGCAATAAGGATTTTGGGATCATAAAAAGATATTTAAGAAAATTTGAGAGGATATACTCAGTACACGAATATACTGAAAAATTCTACAATACAGTCAAAGCAACAAATTTGTTGTAAAAGAGGTGTCTATGCAGGATATATTTTATTGGAAAAAATAGTGGCCAATTTACTATAAAAAGACAAGTCTATCTAATGAAAATACTGGACACCAAAATTGAACAGTTGATTAAATGGGTTAATGAAGAGAATATTCCATTTTATCAAAATCAAATAAACAATCCAAAAGTCCTGGCGGTCAGTCATCAATAACAACCAAAGCATCAGTATCGACAAGCTTTACAGAAGAATACACTATTCGAAGCGATGAGCAAGAAGACCTATGCCCTGATGTAGAAGAGCCATTGGTAATAAGACTTGGAATGCATCAACCCTAGTATTTTAATCAGTGACACGCGGAAAGTCCCCGGTTTGATCCCGGGCAGAAGCTAGCCCATAAAGAGGGACTATAAAATGTGGGTTAGGGCAAATGAATCTGGTTTTGTATCAGTTTCAAATCTATACAGGTAGTTTGTCTGAACATCCAAATTTGCTGTTGGAAAATAATTTTCTTGTTTCAGGAAAAGTAGGGGATGTTACAGAACAGAATCTAGGAGGAAGGGTAGTGACCTGGTTGGAAAACACCATGAAATTTACATGGATAATTACTTTTGCTCAGTTGAATTGTATTAAAAAATTAAAAACTGATGGTATCTGCGCTTACGGTGGTACAGTTAGAATAACGCGCAAACACATTCCTACAGATTTCGAAACTGACAAGAACATGGAAGGGGGTGACCC